TCAAAATTAAATTTGTATAAGGGAAAAATTAAAAATAAAAGGGGAAAAATTCGATTAGTAACTATTTAAAAAGCTTAAATTTATTGACATTGATTAAATTAATTAATTTTATACAAAATACATAAAGTAACTATTTTATATTCTATTTAAGGTGTATTTATTTTTAAATATTTAAATATAGACAGGTTTAAGTAAGTGTAATATATATTTAATTTAATTTAATTCATATAAGTGAGTTAGTTAATGGTTATATAGGTATGTATAATAAAGAGTTACTATAAAGAGTAATAAGTAGTAATGTATAAATTAATTTGCTATTAATGATAGTAAGGGTTAGTATATGTATGTTGTGAAAACGTTGAATAAAGGGTGTCCGATAGAACTTTTGCGAACACACACATTTTTAATTTTAAAGAGCTGGCATGCATGTATTAAGAAGACAATATTTTGAATAAAGTGATTTAATCAAGGCACATGCAAAGAAGTAATTTTAAATAAAATATAAAAAATAACTCGAAAAATGTAATTCATAAAAAAAAAAATTTGCGCATGCAGTCCCTACGCGCGGTAGAAGTGAAACTTTATAGAAAATATTTTATGCATATTAGGGTGCATCACCGAAAAAAGTTGCGCTTTTTCCGCCGGAATTATAAAATTTGTTATATTTTAAGACTTTCTATTTTTCGGAAAAATATTAAGATTTACGTGAGCTGGACCGATTTGAAAATACCTCCCGAAATCTCATTATTTTGATACTCTTAATGAAGTTTTTAAATATTTTTATACAGACCGTTTAAGCTAAAACTTTTCGATCATCTGAGGTAATTAAAAAATTTGTATTTTTTTTAAACTAATTTTATTTATGTAGATATGTATAAAAAACTAAATGTTTTAGATATTTTCAAATAGTCCAAGCTCGCGCAAATCTTAGTATTTCTTCTAAATATTTTGGAAAAGTCTTAAAATATAACAAGTTTTTATTTCCGCTGGAAAAACAGTACCCTTCTTTTTTGTATTGGGAGTGATGCACCCTAATATATATGTATATGTATTCTTCATCTTTATATTCACCTTCAGCTTCATCCCTTATCTATATATATCCCTTATTTATCTTTACCTACAACATCTTCATCTTCACCTTCATTATCATATTCATCTTCATCCTTATCTTAACCTTCATCTTCATCTTCCCCTTCATTCTCATCTAAATTTTCACCTACATCTACATCTTCATTATCTTAATTTTCATCTTTATCTTCGTTTTCAACATCATTTTCGCATTCATTTTTATCTATTTTCACCTACATCTTCACCTTCATCTAAATTTTCACCTACATCTACATCTTCACTTTCACTTTCACTGTAACCTTCATTTTCACCTTCATCTTCAATTTTATCTTCATTTTCATCCTCATATTCTTCTTCTTCATGATCTGCATATTTGTTTTTGTTCACGTCGCTGCCGTTACCTTTGCCATTGTCCTTGTCTCTCCCGCCTCCAGTTGAAGTCAACGCAACTGTTCGTTTTGTGCTCTCTCATTCGGCATATACCACCTTCACCATGGCGTTATATGTACATTTATCGCAAACATTCCAGATCATTGCATTTTTTTCCAAACAGATGTAGCTGATATTCAGAAAGCAGTTGATTTGCTGTTATCTGGTGAGACAAAGTACCCTCGAGCTCTTTCCTCGGTCTAGGAAGAGTGTGGGATTTTCCTTCGAAAAGCTACGGCTTGTTCTTGGATCGTTGATAGAGGTAATAGGAATCGTTATATTCGATATTTCAAAACCTTCCCAGCCAGCAAAAAATCCGAAAATGGATCCGAAAAAGGAAAAAAGTGGATGTAATGCGTTTACTGATTCCATTTTCGGATACTTTCCCGATCCGTTTTCTCAGTAAAGTGTGCAGCAGAACCGTATGTACAGACAAGTATCGAAAATTGTTTTGAAACGGATACATTTTTGGGTGTTTTTCTGATTGAATTTTTAGTTCAATACGCTTTCCTTCTGCGCTTCTGCTTTTTCATGGTTCGAAAAAAAATGAAGGAAGCACCTGACGGCACCCAGCACCTTCTGAAAGCTAACGTATACTAGCACGTTCCTCTCCTGGCTGGGTTTATAGCCACCAATATATCGCCAAGGGTCAAACGAGCACCCTACTCTACTAAAGTAATCATATCATATCATATCATATCCATAGGGATCTTACACGGGAACTATCCGATTATAAACAGGAAGGCTTAATATTTCCTCGAACAGCCATTGGCGAAACAGTGGTGGTAAAAAAATTTCACCTCTTACCTGTCTGAATTTTGTGAGACTTATGCTTAAGCTTCTGGTAAATATTTTTTCGAAAGTCTCTGAGGAGCTCATTAAGTTAAGCGTCAGCTACTTCTGGAATATTTAAATGGTGACGAAAGTTGCGAAAACGAGAAATCAAAGCGGTCAACGAAAGAATGATGGAAGTTTCGATAACTACGAGTAAGTAGATATACAAATAGGAATGCTCCAGAGTTGAATGGGCTGTTCGGTAGAACACAGGGCGACGTAAGCATTTGTAAAGGCGTTGCGGTCGAACACAGGGAGTTCTGTTATGGTTCAGTGGTAAAGCAGAAAGTTATCTGTCAAGTTAACGGATGTAACAGGTTTTGTAAAGTATTTGACTCATAAAACAGATTTCTGTGCGACAATTGAGTGTTTTATTGAACACTACGGCGAGAGAATGCGAAGAAAATCGTTGAGTAACAATAAGGCGTAAAACACAGTTTACAGGACACCCAAATTGCGTAATTTAAAATCTCAATTTAAATTTGAAATTAAAATTGTTCACACGACCATCTCAATTTCGTTTCTTTATGTGCTTGTTTTTGTATTGTTAGTTTTGTTTTGTTTGGTTGGTTTTTATGTTTTCTTTAAATTGAAGTTTGTTCTTTCTTCTTTCTGTTCATTTACCATCCAAAAAAGTAATTGTCAGGGCTTTATCGAAATTACGCAATTTGGGCGTTGTGTAAACTGACTATAACGTAATTAAAAACTGCGCCGACAAAAATGTTCAGCTCTTCAGATGGGCGAAAAAACTCTCATCGAAAACATTTCAAATCTGCTGGAAGGCTTTTAGCTATAAAAAAAGTGAATAAAAATAAATATTGGAACAAAAAAAAATGTTAAGAGCAGTATATCTATTTTAACGGATTTGAAAGCAAATACTCAGTCAGGAAGCTATTTTGTGAAATTAAACATCAATTTAGTTGTGTGAGCATGCAACACTGCGGCGTTAAACACATTAAAAAATACA